TTATTTTTTGGGCCCTTGTCAAGCATCAGGTATCTCTATGTTGATGATTTCATTTCTAGGTTTTCAGTTCTTTTCCATTGTTCGAATATCTGTCATTATACCAGTACCACACTGTTTTGACCATGGTGGCTGTGTAGTAAGTGCAAAAGTCAGGTAAAGCAAGCCTTCCAACTTTGTCCTTTTTCTTAAGTTTTCTGCTAGTTCTGGGCTTCTTCCCTCTCCATATGAAGTTGGTAGTCAGTTTTTCCAATTCTTTGAAGAAAGATGTTGGTATTTATATCTGGATATTGGTGAACTTATACAGTGCCTTAGGCAGGACTGACCTCTTTACTATGTTAAGTATTCTAATCCACAAGCATGGGATATTCTTCCATTTGTGGAGGGCACTCAGTTTCTTGGACTAGTGTTGTGTAGTTCTCATCTAAATCTTTTGTTTTTTTGATTAGGTATATCACTAGATATTTCCATTTGTGCTTGGCTATTGTGAAGGGGACTACCTTTTCGATCTCCTCTTCCATGGACTTGTCCACTATATATTGGTTTGTTGATCTTGTATCCTGCCACTCTGCCATATTCTTCTTATTGCCTCCAATACTCCTCTTGTGGAGCTTTTGGGGTTTTCTACATATAAAATCATATCATCCTCAAATAATGATAATTTCACCTCTTCTTCCCCCAGAAGAATACTTTCTGACGTCTTTACTTTGCCTTATGTTGTTACCTAGGACCTCCAGTATGATATTAAATAACAGTGGGGACAATGGGCATCCTTGTCTTGTCCCCCTTTTTAGTGGGATCGCTTTCATCTTTTCCCCATTGACTACCACATTGACGGTTAGCTTTTCATATATAGCTTGTATTATATTGAGGACTTCCCTTCCATTCCTATCTTCTTGAGTGTCTTAAACTGGAATGGGTGTTAGATGTTATGAATGCTTTTTCTGCATCTATTGATGTTATCATGTGGTTTTTATCCTTTTTCTTATCAATGTGCTGAATAATGCTGATGGTCTTTCAGATGTTGAATTTCCCTGCATCCCTGGAATGAATCCCACTTAGTCATGAGATCTTTATCAGATTACATGATAAAAGGATACTAATTGATACCTCTCCAATAGAGGGTTTCCCTAATTCATATTAAGACTAAGTTACATATGGGAGAAAGATAAGGCTTTCTGCTCCCATAACGATTTAGTCTCAGCAACTTCCAGGGGCAATTTCACTTTATCTTCTAGGGTTGTTATGAGTCAGAATTGAATCAATAGAAGTGAAAGTGAGTGAGGTTGAATTAACTTGCTATATGAGCCTTTAGCATTCTTTCTTAACACTTACCTCTGTTTTTTCACTGGGTTGTCTACTGACATTGGCTAATTGGCTAGCGTAGCTAGTGCCACTTTGACAATTTTAAGGTATTTGAAATAATTTTAGTGTACTATGGATGAGCAGGTTGCTGTAGCTTTACATGTTTTCTTCCTGCCAATTGATGGTTGAGTAAGCTATGCATAGAAGGTTATTGATATATCCTATTTGCTCTATGCCGGTAACTTAGAACTGCAGGGTGTGGAGGGCCCCCAACAAATCATCACAGGCCCGGTAGGCACAATTGTACAGCGATAATAAGATTATAGTAAAGTCACAGAGAGCATGAGAGATAGAAGAGAGATTGAATTAGTGGAGTCAACACAATTCATGGTAGCATGCTCACCTCAGCCCTGCTTGGTGGTCCTCGTGGGGAGAGCCCAGGAGCGAGAGCATAAGAGCCCCTTTATTGCTAACCAAGGGATATATCTCATTAGGGGGTCAAGATCACAGGTAACCACACGACACAGGAAGGGACAGTACAATAGGCATACACATCATAGGAAGGGGATGTACAATAGGCATAAGCGTGACAGGAAGGGGATAAACTAGGGGTGTGCCTACAGAAATGGGAAGGTCTAGGGGTATACATGTGACAAGATGGGAGGACCCTAGATTCATGATGGCAGTCTAATCTTGGTCACCCATGGGTGGGCTTGACCTCTGGGTCTCCTACAAGGAAA